TTCGACATCTGAACCTCCAAAAGTGGTCCGAACCCCTAGTGTTTTTAACATTTTGACTTCTAAATGTGCTTCGCGCCACAACGGCGTGCACTTTTTCAACATCTCAACTTCCAAAAGTGGTCCGAGACCGTCAGTTTTTAACACTTTTGACTTGGAAATGTGCTTCGCGCCACAACGGCGTGCACTTTTTCGACATCTCAACTTCCAAAAGTGGTCCGACGCTGGTGTTTTGTACATTTTGACTTCAAAATGTGCTTCGCGCCACAACGGCGTGCACTTTTTCGACATCTCAACTTCCAAAAGTGGTCCGCTCCTCTAGTGTTTTGTCCATTTTGACTTGAAAATGTGCTTCGTGCCACAACGGCGTGCACTTTTTCATGTCTCATCTGGCCAGCTGGCTCCGCACCCGCCGCTTTAGCGAGCCTACTTTTCGACCCTCCGGAACCACAAATCATTGGGAAAACACAGTGAATCGCGACTTTCCTATCTTTTCGCGCATCTACCTCTTCTTTCTTCTGATCTTGTCTCTTCTGACTCTTCTCACCTCTGCTTTTCAACTGTCCATATTGTCGGAAGTTTCACTTCTAAACTTCCTTCGATAATTACATACATCGCGCAGATATACATACATAGACATACGCACACACACACATGTATATATGTATATATAGAACATTTGCTACTCATTTGGATTCTCCTCCAACACCTGGATTGATCCAAACAAAGGGTACCCCCAAATTCCGTGGTTGAACACCCATGAAATTGTGGATGTAATCATCCCCATTGGTAGTAAGATCCCAAAGTTGGAGACCACCCGGTCGCAGATCCCTGCCATGAAGCCTGTCATGACGCCATGAAGTTCCTACAGCCGCAGGATGGCTGTTGGTATGGCTACTCGGACCGCTGTTCACGGTCCTTTAGTGAAGCAGAGACCATGGTGGCCGGGCAGCGTGTCGCGCGCGCCTGTGGACCCGGTGTTTTGCTGCAGGAGCCGACGGATTATGTCAAGGTGCCTGCGGGTGGCATGGGGGCGGCCCTGGTGCTGGTGAAGAGGTACCCATTTCTTGAGCCATATACCCTCTGGTAATTTAACGTAGCTATTGAAAATGACCATTTATAGTGGATTTTCCCATTAAACATGGTGATTTTCTATAGCTATGTTAAATTACCAGAGGGTATGAGCTACAGCCAACATTTAGGTTAATGGAGAGTAGTATTCGAGCGGTCTCTATTTTTTTTGGAAATTGAGCTGGGGCTTGGAAAACGATAATACACTCTTCAAAAAACGATAACATTTACTTATATAGCAAAACCTGAAAAACGATAATACACTCTTCAAAAAGTGATGCCTTGGAGTTTTTTTTACCAAATATTGACCGTGGCCCATTTTTTTTGTGGGATCTTGTGGGTATCTCCTGCATATAACTAGGTTGGAATATGGTATTTACCTACTTGCTACCTGGGATGCCATCCAAGTACCTGAAAATTGTGGGAAAACCCATGGTCCTCCAAGTGGGTTTGATACCTGAGAATATCCCCTTTGGCATCCAATAGGACCAGGAGGTTTAAGGGTGTATTGAAATTGATTAGTATATAATTATATATACATATGTATGTATATTCTTATATATTTATATGTGCACACATGCATATATAATTGTATGCATATATAGGTAGAAACTTGGATTTAGATTAAACAACAAACACATAAAAATATTTTTTAAAAACAACTTAAGTTCAATAAAATCGAAATAACGTAAATTAAATGATTGAATAAATAAATAAATATAATTAAATATACATATATGAATGCACACATATCTATAATAGCTTTAAATGATAAATATAAGTGTAACATAAATCTATACCTACACATGTTGATATCCCAGGTCTTCGGCATCATTAGTTTCGTGGCCTTTCTGCTGTTTTGCTTCGGCGTTTTGGCTGTGGCCTGTGGCGCCTTCTGTGGTGCCGCGACGACACGCCGCAGCCGCGACGACACTCTGCTCTCGGATAGCGAGGGGTCACCGGTGTCGCCCAAGTCCCCAGGGTGACAAAAAAACGGCGCGGAAGTGTGGATTCTACATGTTTTTTTCTAGCCAAACGGAGATCTGCCTCGCAAAAATTGGGATTTTGATGGATTCTATCCGAATATATATGGGTTTAGCCAAGATTTGGAAGAGTAACGGCAAGAACTGGGATGATTTTAAGGCAAAAGAAACCAGAAAAAGTGTGAACTATACAATGATGGACATCAGAAAATGACGAGAACATATGAGAACGAGGAACATAGAAAACTCAATTGAACTCATCAGCACACAGAAGTATCAAACATGTAACATACACCTGGCTTAGTGCTTCGCAATTTTCAAGCCCCTAGAAGCTTCACCCAAATGATCAGCATAGTTTCTGTGGAGGTCATAGAGCCAAATGGCTGGCTGAAGGCGTTTCTAGCCCTTGCCCGTTTCTAACGGCCGCAGGTATAGACATTTTATGACATTTTTAGAGGGCGGGTGTTGGTGGGGATGTAATTTTTTAGAACAATATAGAACAAACACAGTGTTTTACAGTGTTTTATGCACTTCATGAGGCTGGGAACGTTCTGAATTTTTAAATGTTTAGAAAAGACCTTGGAGATGATGTTTTCGTCCCAGCAAGATGGGTGAATCAACAAACTGGGGGACACGACCAACAACCCCTGCATCCTGAGCATTTCAGTGTCTCCTTGAACTTCGAAGTGAACAGTGTGCAGCTTCTGGGCTTAAACAATGCAGCCAATGCCACATTTTCTCAAGAATCTCAACGAAGAAAGGCTGAAGAAGGCTATGGTGGAGCTGGAAACCCAAACTTCATCCATGTTGATTGTTGCTTCTGTATGGTCCCAGGATTCACTGATTAGGCGTTCCCATGTTGCGAGTGGAGCAATACGTTGCCGAAAGCAGGGACTGTTTGGGGAAGCAACCAGATGGTCATCAATGGTTACTTACTTCATGAGCTGCTTCATGTTTTCACGAGGCTCCCAAGCAATTTCCCATGTCATTGTTGGTACTCTTGCTTGTTGACGAATGATTGAGGATGAACATCCACTGGTCAATGGCGACAGTGACAGCCGCCAGGAATCCAACTGGCAGAACCACGTCAGATTTCACCATGAACATTTTGGGTTGTGCATCTCAGCTAGTACCAGGTTGACAGCCGTCTGATAGTATATCAGCTGGGTTGTCCTATTGTCCTAGAACTAGAAGCCTGCTTAAGTGGCTTCTAATCAAACACAGTCAGCAGCTCATATCATCCCCATTTTACCCACATCCCAGCCGCGTCCCCATGTCCCTGCTGCATGGGCCGTTACCGGCGGCTGCCCACCATGCCGACTCGCCACACGGATCTGGGCCCATTGGGGGCTGCAGTGCTCATCGCCAAGGTGGAACCTTGTGGGGGATAGAGATGGATAGAAAACCAATGAACACAACCATTACCATCTGGTTATTTCACATAGCCATGGAAAATCCCTTATACTAGTAAATGGAGGTTTTAGTGGGAAAATCATCTATGAATGGGCCATTTCAATAGCTATGTTAAATTACCGGAGGGTACAAGCTGGGTTTGGAAGAACACTGCAGGATGCAACAGAACCCAAGCCGCCAAGCCATGCCAAGCCATTCCGGGATGGCCAAAAAAACCCTGTAAGGTGAACTGGGGAATTGGAATGATTGCCATGCCATTCTACCTGCACGCCGCGGGGCTAGAAGCTGGGCTGCTGTTCTTCGTGTTGAGTATGTTACTGGCCTGGGATGCGGCCAATGTCATGCATCACTTGGCTCAGCGGCTGCAGGAGACACCGGAAAGGCAAGCCGGTTCTACGGTAGGTTGGGAGAAGCTCCAAGATTTGCAAGCGGCTTCTGCTATAGAAGTTTCATGTTTGGACTGAATTCAACTGAGATTTTATTTCTTTCAGTTAACAGGTCAAAATCACCTCAGTTCTTTGGTCAAGTAACTCTCTTTTTTCGGACACTTCGGCTGAACATGTCAAGACATGATCCCAATTCACTGTTGATTATACCGTCCGCTTCAAGGCATCCATCCATGCAGGTTTCACACCTTCAAAAATCGTCCCAATTTTTGGGCCTACTTAGCAACGCCTTTGTCCATTCCTGCAATTTTCTTCCATGTCAAGATCCAGCCCAGTTTCCATCTCCAGGAGACCTCCTACGTGGCGCTGATTTTCAAGGGCCTGGGCCCTCGCGGCTCCGTCCTGGCTGTCCTGGCTGTGCTGCTCGCGGGCTGGGGCTCTGCTGTGGCCTGGCTGAAGTTCATCGGCGATAATGTGGCGCGCTTCGGGGGCCTGCGTGGCGCCCTGGGGGATGGGAGGCTGGACGTGGCGCTGCTGGCGCTGCCGTTGATGGCCTGCGCCTGGGTGGAGGCCGTGGATGGGGTGACTTGAACACATTTGAGCCATTTTGAGCCAACGAGACATGTGGAGTGGGGTCGAAACAGCTTAGAAGTGCACTTGGTGGAGTTGAGTTGCAGATTTGGCCCAGTGGTGCTCCCAAAAGTTGGCTACTGTTTGTCAATGGGCCAGGGTAATGAGAATCATGGACCAGGATGAGTCATTTGAGTGGTTGTTGATCACGGTTGCGCAGATCTAGTGCAGGGGGTCTTTTCCTCGCACAAAGTGGTGCCAAGTTGGATGGGTTTATAAACTAACACTTAGATTCGACTGGGTGGCATTACGTTGCAGGACATCACCCTCCTTGAGAGATTCAGCTTTTTGGGCCTGGTTTCTGGGCAGTGCTTCGTGCTGCTGATCTTCATTCTGGCGGCGAAGCACTGGGTCGAGTTACCCAGCTATCTGCAGAGTCAGCCCTTTCTGCGGCTGGAGTCCTTTCCGGTGGCCATGGGCATTGCGGTGTTCTGCAACGAAGGGATGGTTGTGATGTCTTCTGAGGTCGGGTTTCTGACTGATAGGATTTTTGTGGGTTCGAACTTCCGAAAGACCCCCA